ATACAAGTAGTGAATAAAATATTATCAGCATATAAATTGATTGCAGTATTTGTTCTTTACCCGTTTGACAAAAGGAAGTATAAATTTTATTTTCTCGAATGTATGTCTTACTTAACATTGTTTTAAGAATTGTATTGGGTGGTTACCTGCTGTTACGATATTTTTGCGAGTTTTGGAGGTTTCAATTGTCTTTTTGTTGCATGACAAAAATAGTAAATTGATCGTCTATTGTTGTCTTAGAGATGACAGACCAGGAACTAACTTTTGAAGACAATAATTGATTTTTTGTGAGTGTTGTAAGAAAACGAAAAGAGAAACACAGGTATTAATAAGCGTTGATATTAGTGTGCTGAATGTCTGCAATTCATATGCCCTTCCAAACAATCTTTTCCGTGTTATGCACTACGTGTTACACAGCCTGGTAATGCGAGTTTATCGATTCACTAAAAAATGCATTTAATTGTATTGTTTTTGATATGTTCAACACAGAACAATAAGCAGGATGTGTTGTATGTAAAGATTGGTTAACCGAGTAATGCACATAAAACAGTGTTTTGTTGTCAAAGTATCTATATCTCTAGCATTTCAGTTTTTACTCCAATGTAATCTCCGGGATACCAAATGAAAAGAAAATAAGTTGCGGTAAAAACTACAAGGCCACAGCAATATATCAACTGAACTGCCAATCTGACAAAACATATGTTTGTGTTTTTCCTGATAAGCCTATCCTCAGCAAATATTGTAACGTGACTGCAGATCTATAATTATGCTTGCCCATGATTTCTGTTTATCTCGCGCTCCCTTCTAAGTGCATTCTTTGGAATTATGAATAGTTTCGAATAAATTCTTTCTGCATTTTAAGATGCAATTAACATACTTGATTATTTGTTCTTTTATTTATATGATACTAAATACCGTATCTGTCTAGTAAACACAAAAATTGCTGTAAGATGTTTGCACATGGTACTTTTATTTATGTTGGCTGTATTCTGGCTCGCTGACTCTTATGTTCAGCTCAGCACAGGTCTTTTTCAAAGCCTTCTTGCAATGAGAAAACATTCTATACCTCTGTCGTCACCACTCTAGTAACAGCCTAAGATTGCCGATCGAATTTGTAGTGATAGCAGGCCACAATAACACGTTTGTATTTACTCCACAGCCTACTTGTAGACATAAAAGGAATATGTCGGCGAAGTAGTATTGCCAACACATCATTTATAGTGTTCGATGATATTACTATTGAGTCATATTATGAGCTGAACATGGTTGTCCAAAAATTGTATTCGAAAGCATAATTTATTCTACACAGCTGTGAATGTCATTTACAAAGACAGATAGTGTCCTCTGAATGCTTTGCATTAATATGTTAATATTAACTTATAGAGAAAGTTTTGTTCATATGACTATGAAAGACTAATTCACGTGTTGCAACACGAAAAAGCTAACAACTGCTGTGTACACTTCATAAGAGCTTGTGTTCATTTGTGCTATAAATGTACTGCAAACATATCATCTTTGATATCTATCACATTTTGACTCAGTTATAGAAATGCTGTTTATGGAAAGAATGAATATAATTTATAAATTAATTTTAAACATTCTCTTCTTTATATGATACATGAGCAAATTGGTGAGAGAAAATCAGTGAGTACTATCCTATCGGTTTTTTATTCTGCTGTTGATATTTGATACTATTTTGCTATTATCTTGTAATTTACCTGATTTGGAGAGAAGATAAAAAGAAATAAAAAGGGATTGGCATGCAAATGTTCTTGATACTTTCATTGTGCAGCTGTGCATGTTGGAATGGCAGCTCAAACCAGGACCAAAACAAGGGAACGAACGAGGCGTACATTGCACAACATAATCTGTACGATAACAGTAGTATAGAAGAGTTGTGTAACAGCTACCTTGGAGAAGCGGATGTGGATAAGCAAGAACGAAATTCTGTGACTAAGCAACGTGATTTAACTGGACACACTTCCACAGAAAGTATACTCACTTCGATTGTTAATGATATCCTAGATATGATGCAAATGTCTGAGTCATACGTTAAAAGTTACATTCCACTTCTTTCTAGTGATGCCGAAAGTTGCACTGGATATTCTGATCGTACCAGCAGCCATAATCTTGAAGCTACTAGGTGTTTGAAA